CCCTCTCTTCTGACCCACGTTGCTAGCTGCTTCCTCTCACTGGACCATCCACCACAGATACAGGCATGCTGGTATTTCTGCCTTCTTCCAAATAAAACCCTTTCACCCCCTACTTCCTTGTTAGCCCCTACCCCATTTTGCTTTTATTTTCATACTCTGTTAATTGGCTCTCTTTTGTAAGAAAATGCTTCAAAAGAGTTTCTTGTTGGGGCTGGAGAGATGGTTTAGCAGTTAAGAGCACTGACTGTTCTTGCAGAGAACCTGGGTTCAATTCCCAGCACCCACATAGCAACTGGCAACTGTCTATAACTCCAGTTCCAGGGGATCTGACACCCTCTTCTGATTTCCGTGGGCATCGCACAACATGGGTGCACTTACATAAATGCATGCAAAACACTCATAAACACAAATAATAAACAAAATTTTTTTTTACAGTTTCATGCTCACTCTTTCTGGTTATTTTTTTCTTAATCCAACTTTAGACTGGTCTTTCCCGTGCTGCCTAAATACAAATGTTTTGTTGTTACCATGGCCTCCATTCATGTTGCTGAATACAGTAGTAAATTCTCAGTCTTTAACATAGTCTGTCCTCTTTTTTTCTAATTTGTTATTGTTTTGTCTTATTTTGTTTGTTACTGAAACAGTATGTCACTGTGTAGCCAGACTGTGCTCAGACCTCTGTCTGTAATTCACTCAAGCCTTGTGATCCACCTGCTTCAAGAGTTGGGATTTGTAGGCACGCAGTACCACACCCAGCTGTTTGCTGTGGATTTTACTTGGCTCTGTCCTACTCTGGTGTCTTCCTTTCTAGCTCCTGCATGGGTTCTCTTCTCTTGGATCTCTGAAGGCTGAAGCGCTGTAGAATGCTTGATACTTGCTTCTTTTCTGTACTTAGAATCCCTAGGTGATCTCATTCATTCTTTTTGCTCAGAGTTTCATTCATTCGTTGAAAGCTTTCATATTTTCAGCCTCAGTCCCCTCCTAAATCCAGATTCAAATGGCCTGACCTAGTACCATCACTGCAAGACTTAACAAGTTACCACACACACAGTTTAACTCTGTTTACCCCATACACCTGTGCTACCCCAGCCTCCCTCATCCCAGCTTGGTGACACAACCAACCATTGTTCTGATCCAAATCCTTGAATTTATCTTGACTCTCTCAACATTCCAGCTGTGAGGATCCTCCTGGCTCAGGACTTAGCCTTTAGAAGATGTCTATATACTAAGCACTTCTGGTCAATGCATTACTAACATCCTTTATATTATAGTGATGTCTTTTTTCTAGTATCTCTTCTTTCTTTTTAAAATTTTTCTTCCTGTTATTACCCAAAAGCAATCAAAGCGAGTTATGAATATTTATTTCATGCAGATGCTCGTGTTTTTATCTTACTATATTCTATTTTAATTATTTATTTATTCATTTATTTAGAGACAGAATTTCATGTATCCCAAACTGATGTCAAACTCCAAATGTAGCTGAGAATGATCTTGAAATTCTGACCCTTTTGAATACTGAGATTATAGGTATACACTCCCATACTTGGCTTGTGTGGTACTCGGACTCAAACCCAAGTCTTTGTGCATGCTAAGCAAGCACTCTACCTACTGAACTATGTCTCTAGCCCCTTATTTTATTTTATTATATTTTATTTTATTTTATTCTAAAGTTTGTTTATATCTCTCTAAAGACAACAACAACAACAAATCCTACAATGAATCATCTTTCATCCATAGTAAAACTCTGGTCTGTAAGCTGCAATCCCCTACCTGATTTGGCCTCCTCATTTTCTCTGATGGCATCTGCTGCTCCCTGGTTTATTCCTGCTGTTCTTGAAATAAAGATCATCCCTTCAGTATACCTGAGAGCTTTGGCATTAGCTTTTCTCTCTGTCTGCAGTGTTTTCCCTCAGATATCTATGTGGATCACCTTGTCTCTGTCAACTCCTAGGGAGAAAATGCCTACAAGGCACCCTCCAATCCTCCAATCCCTATGTTTAAAATGCCAGGCTGTTTCTACCAATGCTACAGTCTCTGGAAGGAAGCAGGTAAAGACTAGCTCTGAGGGCTTTTTCTTCAGACTCAGGAATGCCTGAGAATTCTATCTTCCCTGTAATTCTCTCTGTAGTAGGAACTTAATATATGCATTTGGTGTATCTGTATTTCACCCAAGAAAATTCAACTGAAATTACTAGGCAGCAGACTCAGTGCTTACTTACTAGTGCTCAGGTGCTGGGCTAGGTCTCGGTGAGGGGCAGCCACTCTGGAAAATGCATGGAAGCTCCTCACATGTCCCTAAAGGACTACTTAACTAGGAAGATACAGCAGAGGAGTGGTCCTACACACCTGCCATCTGTCATTGCTATACACATCCCAACTACGCAGTGATTTGCAGACATTAGAGATGGCTTGGAAGTTGTGAAGTATCTCCTGAGCTGTATCTGTTCTTTGTTGCCTGTTATGAGTCTTTCACTAAAGCTGGAGGTTCCATTCCAGATCACTATAGCAAAGCAAATATCACAATAAACCAAGTCATGAAGTGTTTGGTTTCCCAGTGCATATAGAAGTTAGGTTCACTCTATACTGTAGAGTAAGTGCACAACAGCATTATGTCTAAGTAAGCAGTATGCACTCTTAAATTTAAAATATTTTATGGCTGAAAACCAATCATCAGATGTATTACAAATGGCACTGATAGACTGGATCCATGAAGGGTTGTCACAAACTTTGGCTTTGTAAAAACTGTAATAGTTGTGAGGTAAAGTGAAGCAAAGCAAGATGAAATTGGGTGTGACTGTTCCACACCGGATGGTCATTGATTTTGGTCTTTTGTCACTGTCAATTTGAACCCCAAATGACTGTTGGTAATATCAGAATTATAGCCATTATAATGTTCCCTTTAACTGGCTCTAATAAATCTGCCCCCATAGACCCTAACACCTTTTCGCATACTATATAACCCACCTTAGTGTTTGTTTATAGTTTATCTCCCTCACTAGAAGGTGAGTTTCATGGAGGTAGAGGTTTTTGTCTTTTTATTTATTGTGTAGCCCTAGCATTTAGAGCTACACAATGTGTGTCATATACTGTAGATTCAGTTAGTATTGTTGAATGAATGAGTGAGCAATTTTCCTTCTCTCTCTCTCTCTCTCTCTCTCTCTCTAATAACAAATGAATGTACAATATGAACATTATTCTTAGTGAGATTGGCCACCTACCAAGGTCTTTGGGGAGGCTTTCCAAATCTTATCAGGATAGAGGGCCTTGGAGAAATAATTTTCAGGGGGAGTTACTTCTTAGCAACAGCAGTATAAAAGAAAGCCATAATTTAATAAATACATGTGAAGAAAGACTATGTTATTAGGAGAAAATTTATGTGTTTTCCCCAAAAGAGGTATCCCCAAACAGCTCATTTGTCCAATTTAGACTTCTTTGTGGCACAAGGGATACGGTATAATGAGGCCTGTGGCTCCAGAGTGCTCAGAGTCACTGTAGGTACATTTAAGTAGGATCACTGCTAAAGCAGACCACAAATGATAGAAGAATAAGAAGACTTTAATTGTGTTTATAAGTTCCTATATCCACAGAAGCAGCATTGTAGTGAAAACTTTTGGCAAATGAAAACCATCATTTGGTCCAGTGTAACATGAGGTTAGTATGCAGATACTCACTGAAAAGTATTTCAGTTTCTTTTAACATATGGCTAGACACATAAGTAGGAAAGACTCTAGTCATGTGTATCTATGCTTTTGTATGATTTTAACGTGCCATAGTTGAATGCTAGATTACAAAATAAATCATATGCCTTTGATTATGCTATTTGGTTTTTCTTTATTGTTTACAAACTCCTTGTCTTTCAAAGTCCAGCCAAAGTCTCATTTTCTCTTTGGCTTTTCCTGGCACTATTTTTCTGCCCCTGGATTCCCCCTTAAGAGTAATAAATTAATTGCTTTCTTCTCTGTGTCTCAAAACATTTATCACGCATTGTGGTGTTATCTATTTACCTGCCTCTGAGTTTCAATGGCAGCTTTATCATCTGGGCTTCCCTGGTGACTGCTGCACTCACTGCCTCATGATATAGGTTAAATAAATGGTTATTAAGCTAGAGTATTAGAATACGTTTTATTCTTGGCCATGGGTTAATCCAACAAACACATGCTAAGAGATTTTTATATGCACAAACTATTTTATTTTATGTGTTATGCAGATGCTTGAAAAAAGTAAATCAGATGCTCAAGCACCTAAAGTTTTATAATATAATAAAAGAAAAAAATCATGCATAAAATAAAGCTAATCCATGGTGGAAAGTGTTATTTTTCTCAGAGGGGTATGCGTGTGTGTGTGTGTGTGTGTGTGTGTGTGTGTGTGTATGTACACTTCCTGCTAGGATTAAAAAATATCTCCTTATTGCCTAAAAACTGATTCCACACAATAATCCTTTTGCTGTCTTAGAAATTCAGGTTAAATTCTGCCTTAGATATAAAGACAGACTTCTCTACCCCGTCATCCTGCTGCACTAGCGCAGAGGTTTGAATTAAAGCACTTCTCAAGGTTATGCTGCTTCTTGCCAAACAGCATTGGAAGCAGAAAGTGGTTCCTTTTGGAGCCTTAAGGGATAAATTTCATGCATTCCTAGGTTTTAGAAGTCACCCCAAGTGATAATTCCTTCACATGTTGCTACATGTTCAGCCCTAATTGCCATTAGGATATTGACTGTAGAAAACTTTAAACAGAAGGTAACAGTAAAGGCATTGAAAGAATAATTCAAATGAAGTTTTAGCTGGGAGAATTTTGTTGTTGCTGTTTTTTTTTTCTTTTTTCTTTTTTTAATTTGGTGAGAGCAGCTTGGATGCTTAGCATTTAATTATATTTAAGCCAGCAGCTTTAAAAAATTATGTGGTATATTTGCACTTTCTACATATGGCATAAAGGTGTTAATAGTTTGCATAATGATGGATTTTAACTGATGGACACCAAGAAATCTTTCTGTTTTTGTTTAGACTTGGATTATCACTTGCATTTATCTTCAACTGCTCCTATTTAATCCTCTCGTCAAAACTAAAGAGATCTGTGGGAATCCTGTGACTGATAATGTAAAAGACATCACAAAATTGGTAAGTAAGGATTTCCAGTAGCTGTGACTTTTTCCTGTGCTTTTAAAAAAATATTTTATTTGTTACTTTTACGTGTATGAATGTATTACCTGCATGTGTGTAAGTGTGCCTGTGTTATGCAATGCCCATAGAGGTCAGAAGAGGACATTGGATTCCCTAGAACTGGAATTACAGACCGTTGTTAGCTGCCATGTGGGTGCTAGGAATGGAACCCAGGTTCTCTGCAAGAATAGCCAGTGCTCTTAACCACTGAGCCATCTCTCTAGCCCCTCCCGTGCTTCTTGATCAAAGATTTAGGTTTCTCTTGCCCCAGGTTCATAGTTTTCTAAGACAAGTATCACTGAGTTACTCTGAGGGGCTTTAGGAGGGTAGGTGGAGAGATGCTTAGGTTATGGCAGATTTGTTTATAAAATCAGTCCATTGAACACCAATGCAGTGGCTTTGTTTCTTTGCTGATCTTATCTCCTCAGTCACAGGCAACCTTGGAGAGGCTACTGTGTGCTGATATGCAGGCACTAGTGTGTCTATTAATCTCCTGAGTGGGACCTTCCATGTGACTGTGTCTGCCATATCTTTCCCACTCTTGTAGAAAGCTTAGCAACAAGAGCCCTGAAATGACTATACTCCCCTATCAATAGAAAGAAAGTCATATATGGGCAGGGTTTTGCTCCGGTGAATGTAGCTGGAGATACTTTTCCCTCCCCTCACTCCCAAATATGGAATCAACTCACCTCTGTGCTTGTCACCTTGGAAGTCTTCCCTCAGCAAAAGCATTTTGTATATGTGCTGCTTGGTCACTGCTAGCCTCCTGCATTAGTCCTCTTGATGCTTCTAAGACTCAAGTCAAAGAGGACCACACAACTGAAGTACACTCTCCCAACTCTTGTGACCTAGGAGAGATCGTTTTATACTTACTTGAACACTGTGTATGATTTCGAGATCATCAAAGTTTGAGCCAGGCTTGATGATATACACCTGTAATCCCAGGACTCAAGAAGTTGAGGCAGGAGAATCATGAGTTGGAGGACAGCCTGTTTCTATATGACACACAAAATAATTCTAGATACATTTTGATAAATTTCTTAATTTATTGGCACTCAGTTATTTGAAAAACTGACTAGAGAGCACAGGTGGTGCAAAAAATAGGGAAGAAATAAGAGTTGCTATATGGAGAAAAGAAAGAAAATTGGTATTAGTATATGGAATACATTCCTAGTTTATGTTTTATTTAGGATTCATAACAGAACTTGAAAATAGATGTTGAATTCTGTAGTTGAGGTCTGGCTAGTTTAGTCTCAGTGCAAAATTAGAAACAGGCAAACACACACACACACACACACACACACACACACACACCCCACACGATTTATACAGATTCCTTAGCTTGCCAAGATAAACATTCTTGCCTAGTTTGCTCTCCAGCACTGAAAAACATAAAGTAGCTGATGATCTACTCATGTTCCCCTTGAAGGTCTGGTGAACAAAGCAATACAGCTTTTGCCTACTGTGTATCCACCTAAGTGCTGGATACCAGATCCATGCAGATGAGGAGGAAGTAGTTTTGAAAGCACAGATCACTGTCCTATACTTGAAATTTCTTGTTAGTTTGTGACCCAAGAGATGTTGAAATATGGAAAAGGCTGTATGCATTTATATTCTAAGTGCTGTACAGTGTCTCTGTAGAAGATGTTCATTTGTTGATTTTATTTTTCTTTTTGGTGTGTATGTGTGTGCATGGTAGTAGGGCCTTGTGTTTGCTAAGTAAGTGCTTTATCATTGAACTACATACATCATCAGCACAAAATTCAGATATTTTGGAGCTTTTGTTGTTTGCTTTGTTTTATATTGCTTTGTTTGAGATAAGATCTTGCTATGTAGCCCACTAGTCTCTAACAAACTTGTGATTTTTGTAATGCAGTGCCAGATTACAAGTTGTGCTATCACCCAGGCTCATCGTCTTAGTTGTCCTTCCTGTGGCTGTGATAAAATATCGACAAAGCAAAAGCAACTTAAGGGAGAAAAGGCTTACTTGGTTCACTATTCATGTTATAGTCCATCATGGGTGGGTTCCAGGTTATAGTCCATCATGGGTGGGTTCCAGATTATAGTCCATCATGGGGAAGGGGTCCAGGTTATAGTCCATCATTGGGGGGGGGGGTCCAGGTTATAGTCCATCATGGGGGGTTCCAGCTTATAATCCTTCATGGGGGGTTCCAGGTTATAGTCCATCATGGGGGGTTCCAGATTATAATCCTTTATGGGGGGGGTCCAGGTTATAGTCCATCATGAGGGGGTTCCACGTTATAATACTTCATGGGGGGGGGAGGGTCCAGATTATAGTCCATCATGGGGAAGGGGTCCAGGTTATAGTCCATCATGGGGGGGGTTCCAGGTTATAGTCAATCATGGGGGGTGGGTTTAAAAGGCAGCAGGAGCTTGAAGCACCTGGTCACATTACACCCACAGTCAGAAGCAGAAGGCAGCAAATTAATGCATGCATGCTAATGCTCAACTTTCTTTATTCTTATACAATCCAACATGCCTTGCTCAGGGAATGGTGCCACTTCCAGTAGGCAGGTCTTTACATATCAGTCAAGGCAATCTACAAAATCCCCCACAAACATGCTCACAGGCCAACCTAATCTAGACAGTCCCTCACTGAGACTCCCTTCCCACATAATTCTAGATTGTCTCAAGTTAACATTCTTCACCTAATGTTTGTTGGATGAATGGAGAAAGGACAGACTCTATTTTGATGAACATCACAGTTGCTCATGGTACTTATAAAACACCAAAGTACCTGGGTCCTAATTCAATGAACTGATTCAATAAGCCTGGGAAAGTCTCCAGGCACGTATGTTTTTCATGAATTTCTGAAATGACGTTTCAGAGCCATTGTTCTAGATGGTCTATTCTGTCAACAGTTCAGAGACCAAAAGCTGGAGATATAGTTTAGTCAGTGGCAGAGCACTTGCATGTGTGAGGCCCTGGGTTCAATCTCTAGCACTGCAAAAATGAAAAAAAAAAGTGAAGAGACCATTATTTTGACAGTAGCTCAGTCTCAGTTCTTATCATGTTATTCTATATTATATATAGATTTATAAGAATTCAGTTAAGACAGAGTTCCAAAGTATGCTTAAAGTAGGTCACTGGGGAAATTATAACCCTCCTGGAACTGCTTCTGTAGCTGTGGGAGCTGAGAGTGAGCTAGAGAGACCTGAAGATTTCAAATAAGTGGTCCATGGAGCATAGTTGGAAGATAGTAGTATATCTGACCACAGGCTGAGCATAGGAAGATTCATGTGATAGTAAGGAAAAATTCCTTGTGTTATTTTCAAAGAATTGAGAGAACATGACTTAATAAGCGCCATTTCCTGTAGTAAAGTGTTACGATTTATTTTCAAGCACCATGAGTAACATTAGAAGTGCTAAGAGTTTCTGTTCTTGTCCTTAACCACCTGATTATTATCTACCATTTACTGATGAGTTGATACAATAAAGACAGCAAGAGGCTTCAATGAGGGAGAGAGAGAAAAAAGAAATACCCAGACAGGGGTGTTTGTTAATACTGACCGTAAAATACAGTTTCTCACCCAAAGGCAAATGTCAAACCACTAAACTAGGAAAAATGGTTTTTTCCCTTCTAGCACTTGACTCAGCGGCGGGGGGCGGAGTGGTGTATTCAAAAACTGCTCTAGTAAAACCAGTGTTTTCTTGGATAATATTTTTTAATAAGACTCTTGAAAACAAGTAAGTTAGTGAAACGTAGTACTCAGAAGATCACTTTTAACTTAATGAAAACCTCTTCAGTTCACACCTTGTGTTTTTGTAGAGGAGGAAATAAAAAAGTACTGCTTTCATCACTTCTCAGGAGGTCCGAGACCACAGAGAGAAGGCCAATAGAATCAGAGAACTTTGGAAGCCCTTCTCAGCTCTATGTTACTTTATTCCATGATGGGATCTCCTTAGGGTGCATCCCCTAGAGTAAATCCACCACGTCTGAACTATAGGGGATTGTATGGAAGAGGGGAACTGGCTTCACAGGTGTAACCCTGGTACATTTTATTTGGAGGGAAGATCTTGTGCTGATAGTATGTTTTTGCTTTGTGCTCACAGCTGTTCTCCAGTGGAGGTGATTCCTTTGTAATCTGCCACTCTGCCCTTGCAGTAGCTAATAACTTGCTCTGTGCCCACAGACTAAGTATGTTTGCTTGGGGTGATTCTCAGGCCATGCAAGCACATGATTTATAGCTTTCCTTTTTTTTTTTTTTTTTTTTTTTTTTTTTTTTTTTTTAATTTCTTCTTGGACATTTTGTACTGCCTTTACAGTCCCCATGGTTTTTATTTGAAATCCTTCTGGCATGTTTACTTAGCATAATAGTTCATTTATTTACAGAACATTTTGCTTTGTTTCTAAAAAATGTTGCAAGACTTGTTTAAATGGCAAACTCAAACCTACCTAAGGAAAGAGTCAAGTGTCTGGAAAGAGGATGAACCAAATTTAAAAACTTATATTGATGGATCATTAGGATGCATCTTTTAATATTTGTCGGTACTCATGCAGGAAGGAACCCAAATATTAGAATAGTTCAAGTGAGTTCTTCCCCTTTGTTCCTGGTCCTCATTTGTGATCATCTTTTCCCTTCATTTAGAGGAATTTATTTTATTTAAGTATTTTTCTTTTTTTTTTTTTTTTTTTTTTTTTTTTTTGTCTTTTTTGAGACAGAGTCTCCTTGTAGCCCCAGCTGTCCTGGAACTCACTATGTAGACCAGGTTGGCCTCGAACTCACAAAGATCTGTCTGCCTCTGCCTCCCAAGTGCTGGGATTAAAGGCATGTGCCACCACACCTGGCCAAGTTTTTTCTTTTAAACTATATTTATCTTTCCATGTCTGCCAATAGTGATTTATCTTTCTCAAAATGTTTTTAAGGTAGATTGATGTTCTGTCCTCATCTTATAAAACTGAAGTTACTCTCCTTTCAAGGTCAGTTGACAAACTA